TTTTCCACTGATAATGTGAACTGGGAAGGCTAAAACCCAGATAATCTTGATCAGCGTAAAATTCTCTATCGAATGATGTATGATTAAGCCAAAAATAAAATAGTGCTATACTTTTGAATTTGGAGCATCTTACTATGTCGATTTTTAAAAAGTGTATGTCTCTGCCCAAAAAGGTTATTTTCTAGAAAGGTATATTTAGCGTTCATAACGTATACTTGAGCGCAACTTGTTTTACATGAGATCTTCTATACCTGGCAAACCCACTCTTCTTAGATGAGAGATAAAGCTAATATTACTATGTCATTATACTACTCTCTAAAAAAGAAGGTTGCAGACAGAACCTTTTAAAGGTTCTTTCCTTAGGTCTCACACCGATCCCTCAAATAAGGTTTGTCGCAAAAAAGGTTCAGTATGGTACCATTTTTTTTTTCGAAAAAAAGGGTTCTGTCCAACAAAAATGGTTCTAGCTGATAAGGTTCGGTATAGAACGACTATGTTTCTACAGAAAATAGGTTCCGTCTGTCAAATAAGGTTCGGTATTAAGTCTTTTGAACAAGATTCTTGCTGCAAATTTAATATTATATTGTTCTCTTCTTTTCTTTTATTGTTTTGTTTTCTTGAAAAAAGTTTCACACAACAAACAAACACCCATGAACAAGTAAAAATAAAAATAATTAAAAATGAACTTTTCTCAACGTTTTAGTACACACAAAACAAAAGATACATATTATTACGAAAAACATGAAAGGAAGCAGATATGAGAATAAAAATAAATCTGAGCACATATGTATAATCACTGATTCCTCCTTCTTTGGGAAAGCACGAAAAGAGGTGATATAGGAAAGCAAGAACTATTGTCCCAAAATTATCGTCTTCGAACTCGTTTGACTTGTAGACGGGTCGATCTTTTTGGACGTTTTCTAGTATTAACTCCAATGTTTGTTATATCCGTTAAGCATACTGCTCTTAACATTTGTTTTTGCTGTAATTCTACTTGTTCACTTGATACAGTGGCTGAGGATAATGGACGTTCAGATTCTTCTTTTTGATTTTCTGTTGTTGATGATGAATAGACCACTGCTTCTATTGTTAATGACGACTTAGTATGAGGTTCATTTTCCTTTCGAACGCTCGTTGCGACTGCTAGTGTGGATTTTAGTATCGTGTCGTCAGCTGCAAAGGATTCAAACACATTAAATTGATTAAAAAAACTACACTGCTTAGATTATTGGTCACCAATAAGGTTAAAAAATCGCATTGTTTCTTCCGGCAAAAACCATATTTCCAAGTTGAATAGGTGATAAGTTCCTACCAGTCTGGCAGCGAACAGGCGTTAACGAATGGCTCAGATTTATGAAAGAAAAACATTTCAGCTGTGATCAGAGTTTTATCGAGCGTAATCATCTCGCTCTATCGAGAGAATTTGATAGCGTATCTGTGGCTCTGTTACTCATGGTATTTTTATGAAGTAGAATTTAAACTTACCGTACGTTTCTTCATGTTCGTTTTCAGGATTATCTGGTTCTTCATTTTCTAAGAATCAATTATTTTCGACTATACGTTTCAGTTGTTCAGTTCGCATTGCCGTTGCTTCTGAAAATTGTTTTTGAAGTTGAATAGTAGTTATTCCTGAACTTTGGATTAAGTCATCGTCGTCGTCCTCAAAACTATTTGTATGACTATCAGTTATTGTTGAGGTTGCTGGTTTGATCGATGGAACTATCTGTGTGTAGACCCTACCATTATTTGTTGTTGTGGTAGGTATTGTCCGTTGAATCGTCGACCGGTTTTTGATTCTGTAGTCCCAAGATGCCAATATTGTACGCAAACCCTTTCCCAACTCATTTCCATCTGCAAAGATAATACCGTACAGCGTATGTGCACAACGATTATTATGTGTGAATCTTATTTCAAAGATGTTATATAACGACAACAATAAAGCCAAGGCTGTTTCAGACGATGCTGTTTGTGTAATTAGGTGATAGTCAAGATATAGTTCAAATTTATCTTCTAAAATTTCCATGCGCGGTCTCGGTATTGATGGCTCCTAAATAGAACAGTAGGCAAAATCGGCAGACGTAATATAGATATAAAAAGTATAGAAGTTTAAAATGCCAAGAAAAAACCTTCAACATAGAAATAGTGAGTTGAAAAACATTACCCTCAGGTCAATGTACTTAATTTCATCAGAAGAAACGCTGAAGCGCCGAGCTCCAAAATATGTAACAATTTGCGGATCGAACATAATTTATCAACCAATACTTGGCTAAATGGCTTACCAAATTGTTTACACAACAGTTTTATTACACGAATCGGCAAAATATCTAAAGTATACGAGAAAAAGAAGGCATTTCAGAGTACTGCGACATTGAGACGAACTAATATGTTCATCTCAAGAGTAACCGCAAGCAAAAGTACCGACATAGCAACGCAGTAGAATGCCACTGTGTATACACAGTGGCAAGATAAATGAATAGTATGGCAGAAGAGCGTAAGGTAATATAATATCCTACGCTCTTCTGCCATACTATTCATTTATCTTTTTCTCTTCATCGTCACTGTTTTCGCTTTCAAAACTTCACTTTTTTTCTTTAGTTTTCCCTATTCTTTTATATCATTTTTTATAATGTTCACCGATCATTTGTTAACATATTTGTGGCATGTTACCAGTGCTTATGTTTTTAGTATTTTTCTCTGCTTCAAGGATGAGGATGATATGAACAAGATAAGTAGAATAAAACATTCAGCTGTTGGATATTTGAACTAATCAAAATGAGCTCTTATCGTTAGCATTAGGCATTACGTATGCCCACAGGCCGAAATAAACATCTTACATCCTGTTTTCTCAAACAGCCATAACAAAAGAAGGTATCTCAGTTAAAAGGAGTCTTTTAATAACCCAAGTCTGATCCAATACCCAAACCCAAGTCCAGACTTGGGTTTGGGTTTGTAACATACCTACTCCAGAGTAGGCATACAACGGTTCACCGTATCCGTAAATAACCGCTTTACAACAACTTAGTGTATACTTGGTTTTTAGTTCGTTGATATTGGTTTACATTAGAAGTAGATAAGGATGGTCTTTGTCCTGACGTTATAGTGCACCCACTAATAAATTGATGAAAATTCTAGGAAATAGGTAATCGACTATGAAGAATCCGACAATGAGTATGAGAGACCTCTAGGGCGCATTCTGTTGGTCAGAAACGTACTTTCGACTTGACTGGATGAAAATGAAACACAATAGACACTCGACTATGTGGGTTCCGAAAATCGCATTGAAAATCACTAGTGCAGTAATTGCACGTCAATACAAGAACGAAATTTCGTTACAGGCGTAGCGTTCCGGGTTTCCATTGCTCACTCTCATTATCCATCGCCCGTTGTACGAAAGACATTTGACTGAAACCTTCACGATAAGCGAACAAGTTGTGCTTGTCTCTCCTCGAATAGTGTGTTTGTGTGATCTCGGAATCCTTGTAAACCGGTATCAACGAACTAATAACCAAGTATACACTAAGTTGTTGTAAAGCGGTTATTTACGGTTACGGATAACGGTTAATAACCGTAACCGTTGCATGCCAACTCCAGAGGCCTAAAAATATTTCTGAATTCAAGGCAAGAATCGGCGTTCATCGCAGACAATATGGATGAGAAATGTTGTGAACTTATCTGATTCCACGAAAAAAGCGCGCAATGTAATAAAGCTGAAAAGCTTTCTGGACATCCTCTGAAGACTTCAGCGGACTACAAGTATTCCTAATCGATTCGCTATGATAGAGTATCTATATTCTGTAAGTTTTATTGTACATAAATGATTTTTTCCCTCATTTGTTCTGAACAAGCATTGCATCACGTACAACGCCATAATAATTAGCAGTTGAATATTTACACCCATCGCCCTCGACTTCGTTTTGAGCATTTCCCCACCAGTGCACTGGAAATGCCGGGAGAAATGCAACGAAAATAAGTGCCGCACCAACACCAGCGCTCATTGCTGCTGAAAATATATAAGCATATTTATTCCACCAGTCAGGAGCACGCTTTTGTATAACATAATTGAAGATAAAACCGATAAATATCCACGTTGGATATGTAGCTGTATGTATAGGTGGTATTTGTGATAAGGATGCGAGCATAACTGGAAAATGCACATATTTCAACCATCGAACTTTAGGAAATCTTTTATGTAATAGCCACGCTGGAATCGGACACAGTGCTCCGACCAGAAAGAAATACGGTGTAACTGAGTGTGCATGAAGGAAATTAGCTGTGCCTATAGTGCCCAAATAGTGAGATATTTCTTTAAATACACGCACTTTCGGGCACAACCAATTGTTATTGGAACAAAGACCCTTGAAATAGTTTATAATAATATACGCTGCTACGTAACTCATTGTGGAACCAATTAAAGTACTAACAACCAACATAGTGAACATAACACGTGGAGGGATTTTCATATAATGACCGAGCTTTAAACAACCTATAAATGTTAATGAACGACGTTGAGCTGTGTAACCGTATGTTCGAAATGTCATATTAGCTACAGCGTTGCCTTTCAATACAAGTCCACCCAAAAGTGACATTAACAAATCTAAATCTATATCTTGATTTGTTATAGCTTTTATAATGCCACTAGGCAGTAAGAGAACGAAATCAATTGATATAATTACAAAAAGATAATACCATGGCATCAATGCTGCTAGTTCACACACAATTGCAGAACAAACAAATAAGCTCAGAAATAGTAATGTATACCAATACTCGGGTACTTCTTTTGCCAGTTTTGCCATTAATGAACCGTGGACATCATTTGTTGCTTCATAAACTGACATATTGAATTGTTTTAAGATAAACTTACCATGATACAAGATGACATGAACAATAATTGCTGTTATAACTGCAACCTGAATACAAAAAGTTACTTCAAATGTTGGTGTCAACACAGCATCACCATACTGCTCATAAGCTGTTTGGTTTAGACGAACACCGTCATCTGTGATTAGTGAATAGTTGTATAGAGTACCATCTTTAGCATATGAGTCTCCCGAAAATATAGGTAATAGTTTTGCATCAGCATGTGTATAATACAATATCGGAACAATTATCCAGTATATACCAATGAAACCAACAAGAACATTGAGTAGAGCCCACCACGGGTACAGAATCGGTGATTGTAAAAATGCCGTTACCGATTGCCAGTCAAGCTGCAGCGCTCCAATACCCAGACCGTAGAATCCGGTTAATTGGCCAAGTACAATATTATTGTCATTTATAAAACATATTATTGAAAACGACGTTAGTATGGGCATGAAATAGCCCGGTATCCAGTAGTAAACAAATTGAACAATAAATACAATGAGGAAAAATCGGAATCGTCCCATTGTCCACGTTGAAAGCTGCAATTCGTCATCATTCTTGTTTTCATGCAACATTCGAAATGTCGCACACCTGAGAACGATACTTGGAAATATCATTCCTGCTGGCCATACTAGATAACGTCTCAATAAGCCTGAAACAGAATAACAAACAGACTTCAATTCGTTTCCATGCAAACGAGCGTTGATGGTTAATCTATCAAAGATTTAAAACGTTTGGTTACTAGTGTCACGTCAAAAACGAGCCTCGTAACACAGTTGCAGGCGGCAAAAGCCTTTTCGCAATGAATCAAATGAAAGCGAGATGTAGAGTCACTTAGTTATATAATAGTTAAAAAAGCAAGATACATTCATGACCATATTCAAAATCAGCGCATCGAATCATACATAACACAGTAAGTCTTGAATCGGATAATAACTATTCATCAGAATTCTTTCCTACACACCAGCAAAAAGAATTGGTTGTGAATTGTGAAGAAATGGTTCACAAGCAAAACATTCTGATGTCCGCTCACTATGCTGTAGAGCTATTTCTCCTCTCAGCATTAAATAACTGACTAGTAAGCAAGTTGAAGACTGCTATTCAATCAAGAAACGGAACAGATCCAGCGTCTGATATTGCGATCGGTCTATTCTCCTCAGGATAAACGGCAAAAGTCAACATCGCAAAAACTGTGATATAATTGCGGATACAAAGCTGCAAAACCATAAGATGTAGATTTAAAGACTCATCAAATACGATTTTTGGAAAGAGTTAGTAAACGGAGACTATAAACAAGAATTCCCTGTTCTGAAATGCCAAAACGGTTATATTATCAAAGCAAATCTGCTGGCAAGCTGTATTCGCGTACCTTTGCTAACTTCGATCATCTTTCCTTTCGAAAGATATAAAGTCGAGAAAATCATAACAAAATTTGATGGTTTTTTCTAGAGAAGCGAGTCTCAAGATTTTTACATATTCGGAATCAGCGCAACGAGTTACGCCCAAGCAGACAAACATTTGGAAAAACGCGTTTAAACGCTCAAAAGGGAACCGCGATTGTGAGTCAGTAACGCTCATTAAAAAAACGCAAGAAACGCGTTTTTTGCGCAAAATTTTCACTTTCAGA